CCCTCAATCGAGCCAGTTCCTGCCGTCGTTTCTTTCGTTTCGCCTTCTTCAGGGCGGCCCTGTACTTTTTGTGGCTGGAAGATTGTAACAGGCACACACCAGCGTCAACTGACCGCACCTGCGGCGCTGCCTGAATGCCACCCCCCACCCCGCACCCCGCCGCGCCCAGTGACAGGAAATCGCTCGGGTGCCCGGGAGTGTAATCTTGCTTCCCGGGTTTTAATTACGGAACACGCATTTACTATCGCCTCGCCATTCCACGACCAGATGGCAGGTCTTTTCCATCCCGCCGCCTGTTCCCCTCCTCGCCTCCCTGAACCCACAGACGCCCGTGACAGTCCGGGGCGCACCCCCGGGAAGGACTCCAGTGGCGGCAGTGGCTCGCCTGCTTGGCCCAATTCCCCTTTCCTTCCTGCTTACACATCCTCCATGTCCAGCCTCGGGCAGCTCCGTCCCCTCTTCTCGTCGCCTCATCTCCCCCAGCCCAGCTTACCTCGGTTTCTCCGGAAACATCATCTTCTCAGGCGCCGCCATCTTGTCAGGGCCGCCACGCCCCCCCCCCCCCCGCGAGGTGACCGGAAGAGGCGGGTTTAAGAGAAAGGGCGCGGTCGCGCGCAGGCGCAGGTGCCGCGGGGAATGGGGCGGAGGGGAGGGCACCTCCTCTTGGGAGGAACAAAGACCGTAGACGGGAGGCTCCCGTGGGTGTCTAGTCTTCCAAAACTCTGCATAAACGTCTCCTTCCCGAAAATTCCTACCCCTCCTTGAAAGTAATTCTTCCCTCCTAGCGCTTCCCCATTGCCTTATCACTACCTGCCCCCACACCAGAGTGGTCTGTCCTGTGGTAAGTAAAGTCACACTTCTCTGTCTCTCTCTCTCTCTCTCTTGTCCTCATCCACTCACGAGACCTCATCCCACGCACAGTCACTCGCCTAGCTTCCCAGCCCTACTTGTCCAGGCTCCTCCTTACGCGGTTCCACCTATCAGCCCCTCAGACAAACTCCAGAGTCCGCCCCCTTACCCCCTTCCATTCACACCTGCCACCTCTATAGGGAAACCAACACCTGGGCTGCGAACGTGTAACCTCTGCTCGCAAGGAATGTGCAATCTAGAGGCAGAAAAGGACCAATACATAGATAAAATAATATAGTACAGGCAACGTAGTTTACTTAAACAGTCCACCGGGGATTCAGGGAGAACTTTCTGATGCCTGAGTTTTGCAGGAAGGTAGCCTTTACCCAGGTGGAGAAGGGTGAGATTCCCAGGTGGGAATGGTAAATCGGCATAAGCAAAGGCACTGTGAAGTGAAACAATGTGGAATCGGCCAGACCCCCAAGAATTTTCACAATCGAATTTAAAGGGAAGTTCCAGAGTATCAAGGAACACAGCGTAGAGATGGGCTGGGCCTGGGTTATGTAGACGGGCCTAGTAAACCATGCTCAGAGGTTCTAATTATGTTCTGTAGCCAACGGGAACCATCGAAAAGCTTTTAAGTTGAGGTTTGTTGTCATATTTGTGTTTTGGGTAAATTACTCTGGTTTGCAATATAAAGGACGAAGCTGGACTATCACAGTCTAGATGAGCAATTAAACTGGGCCAGTGAGAGTAGGATTGAGAAAGTAAAATCAGCCCTGCTAATAATCAGACTGTGATGTACATATACAAGGGCAGAGACAAGACCAAGAACAAAAAATGCTTCTCTTGAGGACATGCTATGGCCGCAAAATGATTAACAATCCCCATCTTCCGAGGAAGATTAGATAACTTCCCTGGCCTAGGAAGTTGTTCCTCTCTCCTCCAAATCAAAATCACTGAGGTACCCAATTACTAAACTGCCCCTGCTTCTAGTCCATCCTTGGAATCATTCAGCAGACACCCAAAGTGCATAAAGCCTTGCCCTATTCCCTCTTGCAGAGACACTTGGAATAATACACCTCCAAGTTGACCTTGTCCAGCTCAGTGCATCAGTAATTAGCATCATAAACTTTGGAGTTGGACAGACGGGGAAACCCAAGCCTTGGCTCTCTGATCTTGAGTAAACTTCTTAATGTCTAGTCCTCAGTTTTCTCATCTGTAGAAATCAAGGTAGTGATAATAGTTCCCAAGTGCGTACTATATGTTGGCATAGTGCCTGACAATAGTGTTTCTGACATGTTAGCTGCTGTATCATCACTGATGTGAAAACTCCCTTACCTCCTCAAGAGTGGGTTGGTACTTGTCCTGCATATGTTCCTAGCACAAGAATTTCACCTTTGTAACACCTATCACACTAAGTTATACTTTGTTGCCTTCACAAAGCTGCTTCTTGCAATAAATTTTAAATTCCTTGAAGGTGAAGTTAGTTACAGCCCCTGACTAGAGAATGCCCTGAGTGGCAAAAACTGTAGCTCTGCAAATCACCAATTTTGCTGGTTCCTGTGACCAGGAAAATCGTTGAGAATCATTGAGAATGGCTACCATTCTGAAAGTGTCACTGGGTTGCTGCAACATTTCTTATGAGTTAGACCAGACTTTCCTGTCAGAACACTAAGTAAGAATGTCTTCTAGGAGGGGCACCTGGGTCACTTGGTTGAGTGTCCGACTCTTGATTTGGCTCAGGTCATGGTCTCAGCGTTATGAGATTGAGCCCCATGTTGGGGGCTCCACACTCAGGGGGGGGGCCCTGCTTGGGATTTTCTCCCTCTGGCCCTCCCCCTGCTTACACACACGCTCTCTCTTTCTAAAATAAATAAATAAATCTAAAAAAAAAAAAAAAGAATGCCTTCTAGGAAGATGCTCCTAATTAAAAAAGGATACAGATTTAGATTTTATTTTATTATGATTTACAAATGAATGTAAATCTTTTATAGGCATTAGACATTTATCCTCAACAATTAACCACTGAATTCATTTTCATGAACAAGCTTGAACTGCTCAAATTAACTTCATTTCATAAGTTATTCTAAAAGCCAATTTCATCTCAAATTATACCTACCTGCATTTGAATTCAATAAATCATTAGATAAAAATAAAGTATGTAAAAATTTTAATGCAAAGATACATTGTACTATGATATCCTAATAAATAGAACAAAGTAATCTTTATTCTGCAACATAACATTTTTCTTGGTTCCTGACATACAGTATCTACTTATTCTCAGGTATGTACATTTTAGTTTATCCCCCCCTCTGTGGGAAAATGCCTAAATTTTAATTTTACATCATCAGTAGAAAATAGAAAATAAAATGACCAAAGAATGACCCATAAATGTATCCCACATTTATTGCAAGCATAAAGGGAGAGCAAGAAAAAAATGTCTACTCTCTGAAAGCCAGACTGGGACTCTTTGAATTAATTTGTTTTTCTTGCTCTAGTGGGACTATGGTACTAGGATTCATTGAATGGTCAGTGCAGAAATTCTCAGGAAAGGATATTTCATTTCTCACCTACCATTAAATTCAGAATTAGTCACCAGATTTATTCAGGGACATACCGTGGGGTCTCAAGTCCTCTCCAACTGTCATTGCTATACCAAGGGCTTTATATATTTTCCAGAGTAGTTATTACCTAAGACAGCAAAATAAAATACTTAATGTATATTAATATGAAAAGTACATGCAAATCTGTATTTATACAACTGATTAAAAGAGGAAAGAACTGGGGTGCCTGGGTGGCTCAGTTGGTTAAGTGTCTGCCTTCAGCTCAGGTCATGATCCTGGGGTCCTGGGATCAAGCCCCACATCGGGCTCCCTGCTCAGCTGGGAGTCTGCTTCTCCCTCTCCTTCTGCCCCCCACCCCCAGCTCATGCTCTCTCTTGCTCTCTCTCTCAAATAAATAAAATCTTAAAAAAAAAAAAAAAAAGGAAAGAACTATGCACTGATAATGCTTATTACTTGATTCTTTGGTGATAAGCGCTAAGCAACACAACTACTGGTGGTTTGAGAAGGAATGCTGGCAGAGTCGATATCCTCACCTAGAACCCAAACCAAAGTACCATTTCTGAAGAGTGGTTGAACTCAAAAAGCCGGAATCAGAATGTACACAGGGATGATAAGTGTATTTGTCTGTTTGGGCTGCCATAACAATGTACCATAGACTGGGGAGCTTACAAACAACAGTAATTTATTTCTCACAGTTCTGGAGCCTGGAAGTCCAAGATCAAGGTGCCAGAGGATTCAGTATCTGGTGAGAACTTCCTTACTGGCTCTTTGATGGCCATCTTCTTGCTGTATCCTCACATGGCTGAGGAAATGAGAGAACTCTCTGGGGTCTCTAAGGGCACTAACCCCATCATGAGGCACCACCCTTATGACCTAATCACCTCCCAAAGGCCCCACCTCCTAATACCATCACATTGGGGGTTAGGTTTCAACATATGAATGGGGGGGCCATAAACATTCAGTTCCTAATAAGAATGCATTACTATTTACATGTAAAGTAGCCAGTATTGATGAGATGTACTCATTATATGGCTAAAATTAGAGCCTATTTGCTTAAATAAACTATATCCATTTTTGATCAGTAACATTTTGTAGGAAAGAAACCAATAAAGTTCAATTAAAAAGACAATAAAACATTAAGTAGAATAGGTATCAAGTAAATAATGTTGGTTCTTCTAGTGACACAGAAAATACCTAAAGTGATTACAATACTGTAATTTTGCTAGTACTGCACCAAAAGAAATGTGTCCCTCAGTGAGCAAGGGAAAGACATCTTCCCCAGTTTTTTTGAGGTGGATGCCTGCTTTCAGAATAGCCAACTTTACCCTAGTCCACGTAGCTCTGGAAAGGAGAAAAGGACTGGCAGCTTACCCTATTGGAATGTCAGCAGATTGTGCACTGATCTGACAGAAAGAGGTGAGCTGAGGAGTGGGTGGTTTTTGTTTTCCTGCTTTTCTAATAAATCTGTTAGTAGTTTTCCAGTCACTTTCTGATCTACATGGTAAAGGATGTCCCATAATTTTAGAGATATTGTACATATTAAAAAAAACTAATAGGAAGAAAAAGCCATTCAACAAATATTAATATTGTAAAGAAAATGTTTTATTATAATATTTAATGAAGATGAGCAGCAATGTTAATACAAAATTCTTTCTCAAGCCCTCTGACAGACCTCAAGCCCATTTTCCCCCTTCAAGTTTAGGAAGGTACAAGTAAAACACTTTTGGGGGCACAAAAGACAAAAAGTTTCTTGTTAGGGTGTATAGTAGCCCCAGGATCTGTAGCACCCCTTTGGAGGTCATATGGATAAGATGGAACCACACCTCCCCAAGGCAGTTTCCATAACCTCTACGGAGAAGGTGACCAGGAATTTATCATGCAAACCAGGACATGGTTGAGAGTGAGAGGATGCTGTTAATAATCACACCAGAACACCAGGTGCAGGTGAATCACGAGTGGCAAACCAGGACACACCCAATAAATACATCTTTGTAGCTCTAAGATTTAAGGGCAAATCAGGCATTGGTACGTTGGTTCTCACTCCAATTTGGAAGACTCACTGCAAGAGAATTTTGCATGAGGAGTTTGCAAGAGGCCTGGGAGGGAAGCCCATGTGCTCTGGAAAATGTGTATCTTGTGTGTTTACCCTTTTAAATAAAGGTAACTATGGTTTGAACAGATCAATTATATACAGTTAACATAAACTCCCCCCCCCACATTTATCTTTTTAAGAATTTTATTCATTTTCTTCCTAGAGAAGGCGTGTATTTTAGAAGCAAATGCCTTTGCCCCCTCCCTTTTTTAAGAGCAGATATCCCCCCAAACTTACACAGAAAACTCCAACCTTATTTTTTTCCTACTGAATGTATTATTTATTTTTAATTGTGGTAAAAGACACATAAAATTTACCATCTTAACCTTTTCCAGTGTACAGTTCAGTAGTGTTAAGTCTACTCATCCAACCTTACCTTGCAGATCAGATGATTAGCATACTAATGAAAGAAATACTACTAGTAAATGCAATATGAGTTTGAACACAGGCTTATAGGCAACTAGAAACATTCCAAGATATGCACAAGCAAAGGCAACAATGGCATGGATTCCTCAGAATATGTAGAATTCTCTAGATTTTTAGCCTGTTAAGTTTCTCTCCTTTTTACTGTAGCGAAAGTCTTCTAAACCACTGTATAAATTGGGAAGTTTATGTTGAGCACCTGCCTTGCAAAGAACCTCAACTAATGAAATAAAGTTCAGTTTTCAAGGGAAGTCAAGATAGTTCTGTCATTGTGGAAAACATTATATTTTATGAAACAGTGTACAAACAATGCAAAATAACACTATAAACTATAGACTGTTATATTAGTCTTTCGAAAAAGATTTCTGTAAATATGTCATGAAAAAATTTTAAATTCTAGGCACTTCAGGCATTTTCTTTAAAATGTCCCACATATGCTTTCTATATGATCAAGTCCTGAAGTAATATATCTAATCTTCAGAAGTGCAAAAGGATTCCTAGTTGTAAGTAAAATCTTGTTTTCTTTGAACTACAAAATATTTTTTCTATACCATAAACTGATAGTAAGCATATCATGTACTAGGAATGACAACTGAAGATCAGGGCAAATATTGAGAAGGCCTCATAAAAGAATATACATTCATGTTTTAAAATAAAATATACCTAAAACTATGGCCAATGTTCAGCGAGCCAGGAAGTACCAGTTTGGGCCCTAGGGTTGTTTCTGAAAGGCCTGCCTTCTGGATGGTCAGTGTCTGTGCCTTTCTAGTTGTTAAATATTTTGATTACCATCCGTACTTATAACTCTACAGAGCTACTAATAAACATAAAAAGGCAGCGCAGAAATATCAGACATAAAAAGACATTACAATTACCAACAGGTTGCTGTAAGGAGAAACTCCCGTCTTGTGCTGCTACTTCAGCATTAAATGTCATTATCAATAAAATTAAGAACTCGTTTACCAAAGAGCTTTCCTCAAAGACTGACGAAGCACTGCCACACCAAGAAATGCATTATCTATAATCATTATTAAATGCAGGTGTTTAGAATAGTCCAGTTAGCAATTTTTAAAAAGCTAGTATTTATTAAAGCAAAGTACTGCCTAGAGATGAGCACCTTAGGGGGTCACTTGGCTAGTTGAAGGCTGGGGTTTCGCTTGTATATTCAGTACATAATCATGATGGAAGGAAGAGCGGACAGTGCGATTCATTAGCGGCTGAAGGGGGCGGAAATTGTCCACCATTCTTTTCTCTTTCTCCCCCTCTGAAGTGAAAAGCAGGGTCCGAAACTGTTCAAGCTAGAAACAGAAGTAGGAAGCATAAACAATTTCAATAGAGTAACAGCTTAACTTTCATTTTTACAATTCTCAAACATTCTTCCACAACGAGACACAGTACTTCTTTCTGGGTAGGAATGCCTTTCGCTGCTAGACAGGGAATAAAATGTGTGGGGAGGAGAGCGAGAGGAGGTGGTAAAGCCAATGTGGTACTTGGAATCTGAAGACTGGGGGTCAAAGGCCCTGTCCCCCACATATTGGCCATTTGCCAAGGACAAGTTACTTCATCTTTGATTCTAGGAACCTCATCTTTATTTTTTTAAAGATTTTATTTATTTATTTGAGAGAGAGAAAGAGAGAGCAAGCATAACTAAAGGGGAGCAGCAGTGGGAGAGGGAGAAGCAGGCTCCCTGCAGAGCAGGGAGCCCAACGCCAAACTCAATCCCAGGACCCCGGGATCATGACCTGAGCCGAAGGCAGATGCTTAACTGACTGAGCCACCCAGGCGTCCCTAGGAACCTCATCTTGAAATGGGCAAAATAGCCTACAGGATAATATAGGGAAGACCTGATGCATATAGTAACAGTGCTGAAAATGTTTTGTTTTTTCAAAATGTAACTAAATCATTAACATAAACAATGTATTATTCATTGCTCACCGTACCTGGGCATTGTGGGGAAGGCAGTGTATGTGGATATCTTTTTAACAGGCAGAGGGATACCCCCTACCATCACTGTCCAGAAGAATTTGCTGGGATGATAGAAATGTGCTCTGCATGATTCATTATGGTAGCCGCAAACCACATATGGCTACTAAGTGCTTGAAATGTGGCCAGTGCAACTAAGGAACTGAATTTTTCTGTATTTATTTTTAATTTTTTTAAGTTTATTTATTTATTTTTTAGTAATTGCTATACCCATCGTGGGGCTCAAGCTCACAACCCCGAGATCAAGACACGCATGCTCTATTGACTGAGCCAGCAAGGTGCCCTGTAACTGAATTTTTAATTTAATTTTTATTTTAATGTATTTATATATATATATATATTTAAGATTTATTTATTTGACAAAGAGAGACACAGCGAGAGAGGGAACACAAGCAGGGGGAGTAGGAGAGGGAAAAGCAGGCTTCCCACCCAGCAGGGGGCCCAATGTGGGGCTTGATCCCAGGACCCTGGGATCATGACCTGAGCCAAACGACTGAGCCACCCAGGCGTCCCTGTATTTATATTTTAATTTAAATGGCCACATGCTGGCTAATGGATTGGACAGTGCAGCTCAGTACAAAAGGAGCAGCCCCAGATCAAGGGCTTGTTCTCTGACATGGCAATAGCATCACTCACCCCCTGGCTTTCTGAGCAACTGTATTTTGGAACACTTGACTTCAAGCCAGCCATAAGACCTTTCCACAACATTTCTCCTCACTCAATCAGGCACACTGCAGCTATGGAGAGAACAGCCTGGGGCACAGTAGGCAAGCATGCTTGGACCAAAGACTTCAGGTCAAGTAGAGCTGCAGAGGCAGGACTGTGACCAGGGGCAAGTGCCAAACATAGTGACCGTACTTGCAAATTACACATATACCCTAATAAATTAAGAACATGCCCAAGTAGTTAAGATTTATTTTTTTTATTCAGCTAATTGCAAAGGATTAGAAATAGCTCAAGTATCAACAATAAGTTACATTAAGGGTGCCTGGGTGGCTCAGTCGGTTAAGCGTCTGCTTCAGCTCATGATCCAAGGGTCCTGGGGTCGAGCCCCACGTTGGGCTCCCTGTTCAGTGGGAAGTCTGCCTGTCCCTCTCCATCTGCCTCTCCCCCTGCTCATGCTCTCTCACCCCTTCTCTATCTCAAATAAATAAAATCTTTAAAAATAATAAGTTACATTAGATCTATAAAATGGACTAGTACATTGCCATAAAAAATGATATTGAAGATAATGTTTATTATCTATAAAATGTTCTACATATCACTGAGTGAAAAGAGGAACAAAATGGTAGGTACAGAATGATTCCATTTGTTTAAGAAACTTATGTATATTTATGCAGATAAAAGACCAAAAGGATTTATGTGTATCTGTATAGATAAAAAACCAGAAGGATTTACCCAATGACTGACACTGATTATAGGTTACTGGGATTATAGATGACAGCTAACATTTTTTTTCTCAATGAATTTTCTGTGTTGAGATTTCATTTGAAAACTCCTCACATGGGCCACCGACCCTCTGATTTATTGATTTTACTGATTTATTTTTCAGTGTTACGTCAGTTTTTAAATATGAAGGAGAGACGCAGACTAAACGTATAGGCCACCAAGCCCAGGCTATGACAGTTAAGCTATTTTTTGTCACTTGTTTTTGGTGGTTTTCATCACACAGATTTAAAAAAAAAAATTTCATGGTCTAACTTACTAGTTACTTTCTTTAGGACTTCTGGGTTTGATATGTTAGAAAAGTCCCCTCCACTTGGAGGTATAAAAGATTTCTCTATGCTTGTCCTCGCACTTTTATGGTGGTGTTTTTAACATTTAATATATCTGGAATATATTCTTGTGTGAGGTCTGAATGGTGGATCTAACTTTTCTTCCCCCAATGTCGGCCCAGTTGTCCCCCAACAGCCTTTACTGAAGAATCTCATTCCCACCCCCCCAAATGAGATGAGATGCTACCTTTATCACAAACTAAATTCTCATATGTACTTGGCTGTATTCCTGAACTTACCACTTTCTTCCCTCCAGTGATCTCTTGTGTGCCAGTACCACACTATTTCATTATTGAGGCTTTATAACTTTGTGGATCTAATCTTATCTCTCATTTTTTCTTTCAGAATTTTCCCTGGCTATTTATGCTTGTTTGTTTCTCTGTGTGATTTTAGAAGTAGCACATCTATCTAAAAATCCTATTGACATAGTAAATGAACCACATCAAATTTAGGGAGAATAAACAATTAATGGAGAATAACAACTGAAAGAGTTGACATCGAAGTTGTTTTTATGCTGTCTTCTGATTAATAGTGTGGTATGAATTTTATGAATTCTTTTTAAGATTTTTTTTTATTTATTTATTCATGAGAGACAGAGAGAGAGAGAGAGAGAGAGAGAGAGAGAAGCAGAGGGAGAAGCAGGCTCCCAAGGAGCAGGGAGACCGATGCGGGACTCGATCCCAGGACCCTGGGATCATGACCTGAGCCAAAGGCAGACGCTTAACCATCTGAGCCACCCAGGTGCCCGAATTTTATGAATTCTTTTATGTCCTTCAGGGATGTTTTAAGTTTACATGTTAAATTTTGTTAGGCTTACTCTAAGGCATTTTATATTTTTGTTTCCATTATAAATAGTGTTCATTCTTCTATTATAACTCTATATCATTACATCCTTTAACTGATTATGATTTATATATGTTAAATGCATTGATTTTTATAAATTAATATTATACTCCACTAATTACTGAATTACCTTATTTTTGAAGTAGTTTTTTATTGTTTCTCTAATTCTTTCTTTTTTGGTCTAATTGTATTGGCTACTTCAGGAACATAATACAAAATCGTATATGGTAGGGTGCCTGGATGGCTCAGTCGTTAAGCATCTGCCTTCAGCTCAGGTCATGATCCCAGGGTCCTGGGATCGAGCCCCGCATCGGGCTCCCTGCTCTGCAGGAAGCCTGCTTCTCCCTCTTCCCCTCCCCCTGCTTGTGTTCCCTCTCTCACTGTGTCTCTCTCTGTCAAATAAATAAAATCTTTAAAAAAAAATTGTATATGGTAATAATCTTTCTCTCTTAGGCATACTATTTATTTTTGAACTCAGAGCAATCCCTTTTATCAAGTTAGGGAACTCTCCATTCATTTCTATTGTATTTAAAAATTTAAGAAATTGAGGGGCCCCTGGGTGGCGCAGTGGGTTGAGCATCCAACTCTTGGTTTTGGCTCAGGTCATGATCTTAGGGTCATGGGGTCAAGCCCTGCTTCAGGCTCCGAGTGCTGAGCTCAGTGAAGAGTCTGCTGAAGTTTTTCTCTACCTCTCCCTCTGCCCCTCCCTGTGTGCTTGCTCTCTCTCTCTAAAATAAATAAACCTGGGGTGCCTGGGTGGCTCATCGGTTAAGCGCCTGCCTCTGGCTCAGGTCATGATCCCGGGGTCCTGGGATCACGCCCCGCATCGGGCTCTCTGCTCAGCGGGGAACCTGCTTCTCCCTCTCCCTCTCCCTCTCCCTATGGCTCTGCCTACTTGTGCTCTCTCTGTCAAATAAATAAATAAAATCTTTAAAAAAATAAATAAACCTTAAAAAAATTTTAAAACTGAATAGTGAATTTTGCTAATTCCTTTTAACAATATATGGAAATGGTTATATGATTTTTCTACGTAGATTCACTGATATGATAAATTATATTAATATCATTCCTAATAATGAACCATCCTTACTTTGCTGGAATATACATTATTTGGTTGAAGTGTATTATTTCTTCTAATGTACTGCTAGCTTCTATTTCTCATATATTATTTTTGCTTCCTTTAAAATATATTCTTCAGAGGGGTGCCTGGGTGGCGCAGTCGGTTAAGCATCGGACTCTTGGTTTCGGCTCAGGTCATGATCTCAAGGTCATGGGATCGAGCCCCATGTGAGGCTCTGCGCTAGGCATGGAGCCTACTTAAGATTCTCTCTCTCCCTCTGCCCCTACTGCTCATGCTCTTTCTCTCTCTCTCCCTCTCTAAAATAAATAAATAAATCTTTAAAAAAATTAAATATATTTTTCAATCTTTAGTTTATCTTTATTTTTTGGTCCAATATTTAATGGACGTTGGTATCCATTATCCTGACTTCATAAAAAAGATTTTGGAAGCTTTTGCTCTTGTGAAAATGCTTTGTAATTAATAAAAAGCCCATAAAGCAAGCATATACAAATATTACTGTAGTTTAGTTAAATTATGAATTAAACAGGATTTTGTTCGTTGACATAGTAATCACCACTTAAACTTACTTTTAAAGAAGTTCAAAACATCTGACTTAGAATTTCTGGACAGACATTGTTGGATTCTGTCTTTAACCTGAGGTTCCAGAGCAAAATTTCCTTATGGATTTTAAAGGGTTTTGAGCATATCCATTTCCAGCCTTCATTCTTCCCTTTAAAAGGGTCTTGTTTATATAGAGATTCATATTTATATATAAAATACACAATGCATAAGACATATGTCATTGCCAAATATGAAAGTAAAAAGCTTGTTTCCTAAATTTTAACTCTTCTCTCTAGTTGACTTGAAGCATTCCCTAATTTATATCCAAATTTTAAGACAAGATATTAGCACATTTTAATAAAAATGTATAAGCATTATAAGATATTAACAACTGATGCCAAAGTTGGAGCCTAGCCTTGTTTTAAATGGGCAGGCTAGGATTTCCTCAGACAGAAATGTGGAAAGAACATACCTGATCATGATCAACCTCTATGGGCTGCTTCTTAATGATCCAGGTGACGGACTCGGAGAGTGGCGGGGTAGTCAGGGATCCCGAGTAGGTCCAGTAATCTGGGCAGGCAGGCATCAGGCAGGAAGGATCAAACGACCCAAATTCCACAAGGGTGTCCTGGCCAAGAGAAGAGGTCACCAAGTTATCATCTCGTGGTGAAAATTACTCAGGAATCAGATGATGAAGTGATGAATCTCGGGGAGGCTGGGGACCATCAATGGTCTAGAGGATTTCTGGGTACCTTAGGACAGAATCACGCCCATGCCTTGTTCCTGTAATTAACTATGTAGTTCTGATAGTCCTCCACGGGAACACGGCACAAACCACTTCCTCCCTCCATTCTGGAAGTTTACTGCGGGTGGTCCCCTCTGAACTCTTTGGGAGGCATCAGGCAGTAGCTGGTGCACGAACAAGATTTCTTTTTTTCAAGAGAAACCAACAGAATTCTTTCTGAAAACACAATGCAAATTTGGGGGAGCCAGGCTCCTGGACAAAAAGGGGAGACAGAAGAGAGGGAAGGGAAAAGAGGGAGATAAACAGGGAGAGAGAGGGAAAGAGGTGGTGCGGAGAGAGACCGAGGTGGGGAGGACGGGGGGGTGGGGGTGGGAGGG